GAGTAGTAATACATTTGAAAAGGAAGGGAAAGGAAGCATTCTGAAAATGTCCTGATCATGTATAAAAACACCATATATCAGTGATGGTTAACTTTTTCCAGACTGAGTGCCCAAAGCACGTGTGTGTGTGCGCGAATGCATGTGTGTGCGCTCAATCCCCCAAAATGCAATGTGTGCGCAGGCCACGTGCATGCCCCCATCCCTGCACATGTGCATGTGGCCCCCTTGCATGCATGCATATCTCCCTGCATGCACCCTGTCCCCTGTGCATGTGTGTGTGGCCCCGCACATGCCCCACCCCTTTGCATATGTGCGCACCCCCCTGCATGTGCCCCATCCCCACAAGCATGATGTCCCCACACACATGTGTGTGTGGTCGGCCCCTCACAGTGCCCCTCCGCCTGCACATATGCAGCAGAGACCAGCTGGCTGATGGGAAGTGTGCGCGCATGCATGGCAGACCTGAACTAGGGTGACGACTCACGTGCCCACAAAAAGGGTGCTGTGTCCCACCTCTGGGACGTGTGCCATAGGTTCACCATCACGGCTATATATACTTCCTAGTCAGAGGGAGGAAAACAAGAATATGTTGAATTGAAAGACAATTTCTAGATTACATAGAATTTACATAGAATACATGAGTCTGTAAAACTGGGTGTTGTTTGCATATATATAGTTAGCAGGGAATGCTACATGAGATTTGAGTCATATCTGTATGTTTCCTATCTTATTTTACAGTATTATACAAAAGTCTCAAATGATCAAAGGCATGTTGGTCAGCAGAAGTCACTGTCTATGTTGATAATAATTGAATATGGAAAAATTGTGATTTAAAAAAGAGAGTAAACGAATTAATGAATAGAAAGAAAGAAAAATACATGCTTGTAAAGAAACAGTGGAAAGATGTAGTAGATCTGAATAAGATGATCTGATTTTATAGTGTTGATCAATACATGCACAAAAGGTATAGCTTTGATTATGAATAAAAAGGTTAAAAATCATGTCAGGAAGTATGAGCCCGTGTCATTTAGATTGTTCGGATTGATATTCCCAGGTTAGTGAGAACTATTATATAATATTTATTTAGCTGCCTTCCAAGGCCAGCAAAAAATCAGCTTTGTATTGTTAATTTGAAACAGTAGGAAGAAAACTGTGGAGCAAATAGCAATAGCAATAGCACTTAGACTTATATACTGCTTCACAGTGCTTTTACAGCCCTCTCTAAGCAGTTTACAGAGTCAGCATATTGCCCCCAATAATCCGGGTCCTCATTTTACCCACCTCAGAAGGAAGGAAGGCTGAGTCAACCTTGAGCCTGGTGAGATTCGATCTGCCAAACTGCTGACAGTCGGTGATCAGCAGAAGTAGCCTGCAGTACTGCACTCTAACCACTGCGCCACCGTGGCTGTTCCCTGCAAAGATCTAGTATTGTTTTTAAGGCTTCATTTTAGTCCACAGTAAAGCTTTTAACATAATCTGGTTTTAGTGTCTCCTGTCAAGTTAATCCTATTGCTGTATAAGGGACAAAATGACGGGCTAGCTAAGATTTACTACCAAACACTAGTGTGAAATTTGTCAGTGTGAAACAAGAAATTCATAGTTTTGTGATAGCTGCATATTACACTCTAATGAATAATTAGTACAATAAAGAAGAAAGGATGAATTTTGAGAAAAACTGAGCAACATCCTAAGTTAATGTGATTCAGAGAAAAAAGTTACCGGTATTTGATTAGGTAGGAACAAGAGAAAAGAAAACAGTAGTCAAAAAGTATTCAGTCAATATGATGAATCAAGAATGAATGAGGATGGTGACTGGAATCGGGTTAGAACAGGATCTGCTTTGAATATACGATTTATATGTGATATATTCATTTGCTGATGAATATATGCATTAGAATGCAATATGCATTAGAAAGGAAGGAATATGCATAGGGTCTTGGGGAAAAATGGACATATATTTAAAAAAAGGAAGAAGGTGAATAAAGTGAGGATGAAAATTGAGCAATTGCAGGAAAAATGATTCAAGTCTTGTATGACAGATTTGTCTTCCAAAAGAATGAATGGAAAGTAGAAGAAGTTGTTTAGAACAGAATGAAAACAATTACATTATCGGGTACCAGAAAGGTTTTCGAAGATAGGTTGAAGTGAATAGGCTTGTTGAGAGATGTTTTCAGCAATATTATTTATTATTTATTACATGTATTTATATACTGCCATTCTCCCGAAGGACTCAGGGCGGCGAACACAAGTTAAGAAACAAGTACAATAAAATCATAATTTAATCCAAATAATTAATTAGTAGTATAATTAATAATAAATAATTAATTAATTAGTAATATGAAAATTGATTAGTGAATAAATATAAAATTGGTATATTTTGAAACATGCCTGAGAATGGTTCAGCACTGAACAGGAAATTAGCCACAGATGTATTTTTTCCACTTGATTATTTAATGTATTTATGGGTACACGTATCCATGTTTGCATCCATAGCAAGCTTTACATGCTTATAGCAATGTGGATGTACATGTATTTTTGCACATGGATGAGCATGCTGTTAAATCTAAATGATTTGTACTCAGTTTTGTATAAACTAACAACAAGGAGTATGGAACTGCACTTATCTTTGATAAGTAGGCAGATAGATGGAAGAATGTTTACTAAATATGAAAGAATGGATGGAGAAATTATAAAGTAGACGGGTGTGGCATAATATGTGGCTTGTTGTGAGGTATAGTTGTTTACAGAAACAATAAATGCTTTTGTATAAGGACATGCTTTCCTCGTTTTGCTATCTGGAGAGCTGAGCATAAATATAGAAGGATAAACAAAACAGTCACTTGAATGCAGTGGGAATTTGGGTATGTATGAAATGTGTGGGTGGTAAAACAAGAAAAGGTAATGTCAAGAATCAGTGTGTGCTAAATTAATGTGGATTGAATGCAAATGTGAGTGCACAGTATGAAAGAGGTACATTGAGGTGGTTTGCTGAAGTAGAAGGAATGAATGAGGCTCATTAGATTCACTTGACTGAAGCAGCATAAAAGCACTTGTAATAAATAAATAAAAACATATATGAAGGAAAAATAAATGGGTTGAAAGGAAGGGTGAAATAAAGAATGCTGTGGTTGGATGGAGCTGATGAGATACTCAAAAAGAAAGAGGTGAGGGTTTTAAATAACAAAGTCAATGTATGAAACTGGGTATGGACATAGTGAAAGCAAGAATGCTTTGTAAAGGCAGAAAGGTATGGAGCAGCATAATGAATGAAGTTGATTTAAACAGTTTTCAGCTATGGAAGCTTTCCTTATTTATCTAATATCTTTAATTTCTTTTATTTATATCTTATTGCTTTTCTGAGCTCTGTAAGGCTCTGCTTACACTATAGTGTAATACTGTAGTGCACACAGAAGATTAGGCAGCCTTGGTCAAATTGTAGATTTTAATGATTGGTAAGTGAACTGAAGCTCACACAATCACTATATAGCATGAAGTTATACATAGCATCTTACTACATGTCTGAAGGCAAACTTAACTATTTATTTTGTTTTTAGATTTAAATAAGATTACTTTCCCATACGTTACATATTTATATTATATTATATTGTATTATATTATATTATATTATATTATATTATATTATATTATATTATATTATATTATATTATATTATATTAATTATACAGTTATATTCTCAATATCCATCAGTTTTTCCTACCCCATATGCAAATCCAGAATTACTTTCTAACATCACTAAAGACCTTAAAGAGAGTACAAATTGGAAAAAACAGGATAAACTATAAGAAAGGATGAATTAAAACTGGGAAGATATTTTATTTATAAGGTTATGTAAGATGATACAATTTATCTAAATACTTCCAAGATTGTACTTATTTGATATTTTATAAATACATTTTGAAAATTAGAAATCACATAAATAAATACATATTTATCCATCAGTTTCCTATTGTTCTGCCTTCACCATTTCATTTCATTTGTTTCCTATTTCATTCTAAGATAGCTTAGAAATTGTTTCATTAACCATTAATATTACACATATTTCCCTTGGTTTATTGAAAGTAAAGTTTTAGTTATGCTGATTAATATTTTCACATTGTGGAACAACAATAGCTGAATTAGTTTTTATATAAATATTTATTTTAAAACTCCATATTATTTTTGTCTAAACTCACAAGTAGAAATCAATATAGAACAGGGAAAAAACATTCTCAAATGAATTAATCGCCCTAGAAATGACATAATATCATTTGCCAGTTAAATAAAATCAACAAGGAAATAATTCAATCAATTGATGCAAATGCTAGTCAAGCACTGAGAGATGTGAATTTTGTCACTTTCAGCCTAAACATTCATTGACTCTCTTATCTTTTTTCCTTTGTTAAATTGTCACCTCTATTACTGAACATTGGCATTCTAGAGACTCATAAGTCACAGAGGTGTCATTTGCTTAAGAAACAGAAATGTGGATGAGTTCCCAAGCCATGCCAAGACAGCACAGATTTCTGAAACATTTGGTTCATGTGGCAAATAGATTTCTCGTACAGACACGGAAGAGGCTATAAGAAACAAGATCATTGTTTCTCTAACTCTATAGCAAATAACTAGGTACTGCCCAGTTATTTTAGTTAATAGGACACTCAACTCTGACTGGTTTTACAAAGAACAAAAACAATATCCATTAAAAAAAATAACTACCCAAGAAAATAAAACTATCCTTCCATATTCCCTTGTAGTTTTAAGAGGCCTGCCAATTGTCTTAACCCAAGGCCTGAGGAAAGGGCCAAGTTTTTAAAGATTGTTTGAAAGCAGGCAAAGTAACAGTCATACAAGTGTCTGAGGGATCTCATCTGTTTCTTGCAAAGGGAAGGTATAGTACCATAGAAGGCCTACTTTCTGGATCCCACCATATAAGTTTGTTTAATTGAAGGAACTTGAAGCAAGTTAATTTTTCCAGAAAACCAATAGTGGGTTCCACTTACCTTCGCTACCAGTTTGGAACATGTGCAAAGCATCCGTGATGATGTCCAGGCAGGTGGGCCTCCCGCCTCCACCACTACTAGTTTGCCTGAACCAGGGTGAACTGGTAGAAACCCACCACTGCAGAAAACACAGGATGAGCAGACATTAGGGGAAACTGGTGATCCCTAAAAAAACTAGGCTTTGTGTCATTTACCTCTCTATGACATAATCAGCATTTGATTTGCATCACAAAGACAGCTGGCAATGAGTGCAGCTCATGTAGCAGAGTATAATATACTATTAACAAGCCTAGCCCAACATTGCTCAGGCAGCCATCTTCTAGACCAGCTGTAGCTTCTGATGATCTCCAAGAGCAGCCCATATAGAGTAAGTTACAATAGTCTACCTGAAAGTTGATCAAGCAATGAGTGACCATGAGGAGAGTTTTTCAATCCAGAAATAGGTGAAACCTCTACCAAGTAATTAGAAAGAAGATGCCTCAGTCTTCTCTTATTTGCTCCCATCCAAATGGATTGGGAATTGATATCTGGAGGACAGCAGATTAGAAGGACTATGATAGTTAGATAGTTGCTTTTAAAAGTCTCTGACGATCCCAGATGAGTTGCCTGATCAGCAGAGGCTTTTTTTTTTAACTTTTAAAAGCATTTTTTTGGCCGAAGAGGTTGTAGAAAAAATGCTTTTAAAAATAAAAAAAAAGCCTCTGATGATTGCGCGGCTCAGCTGGGCATGCAGGTATGTTTGCTACCAGTTCTCTGAACCACCCGCCACCATCGCTACCATACCTGGTCTGAACCGGGAGCATTTCACCCCTGGAAAGAAGTACAGGTAACTTGTATCTGTTAAGGAGGTTTCTAGCAAAGGACCAAGATGAGAGATGTCCAACTTTGAGAATGAAGGAAGAACCTTCCATTGGTTTGAATAGCGCCTTGTCCCAGGGAAGTACACTCAATCCACTGTTCATCAAGGGTTGTTGTTTTTTTCCTCACTCTGCCAGTTCACAAATAATCAGTCAGTCAACAGGATCAGTGGTGGGTTGCTACTGGTTCACCTCGGTTTGGGTGAACCGGTATCAGCGATGGCGGGAGGCTCCGCCCATCCACCCGGGTGCCATCAAATACGCTCTGCACATGCGCACCAGAAGTGTTGCACATGCACAGAAGTGTTGTGCATGCACAGAAGTGGTACGTGTGCTCGGTTCACTCACACGCGCATGCAGACAAACCGGTGAAAAAGTGAAACCCACCACTGAACAGGATGGCGCTCCATGCATAGAATTTGGATCTGGCTTAGGTTGCACCAAAGCCTCAAGTTACCATAATCAGTAAAATAAAAGAAAAAATTTCCACTTTCTGAAGCAGTTTATCATATCACTTATTTATATTAAGCATCTTTTAGTTGCAGTAACTCTCTTTTGTCTATGCACTTTTATCTAGTATGCTGCATTTAACACTCTTGAGCAAATGTATTTGTTTCAGCTATAAGTAGTAGACAAATATTTAATCATAAGATCAAATATAAAATAAAATGCACTAAGTCTTCATAGATATTTGCCATCAGAAAAATCAGTGTTTGTACTGGATTGATTAGTGCTTGTGATTTTTTTTAACCATGATAATATAAATATATTTCCCATTTTCAGTAAATGAACAACAAAAGAAATTGTGTGCAATATTCTCAACTTTCTCTTAATTATAAATGGAATGCCTTGCTTGGATTATTACATTACATTGCAAAGAGGAGAATGGAATATAATCTAAAAATGCTTTTCTTACAGAAAACTGAAATTAAATAATCAGAAAATTCCATCATATTAAAAAGTAGCATAAAGTTCAATTTCATTGCAATTTGTGTTTCTCTGCAAAAGTTCTATGTTTGGAGGAAATGTGAATACTGAGTAATTAATTTTGAAATCAAGTGTATTATTTAAATGAATTCACTTGACCATACTATATTCCATAAAACACAATTTTGGAAGTCTTTTAAGACATTGACAATAATTTACTTCAATTGTGAAAACAATACAAACATACCTTTATTTTCATTAATAATATTCCATTTTAAATTCACGACATATCTTGGATTCCTTTCTTGCTGTTCTTATATTTTATTTTGAAGAAACTTTGAAACAGATACTTGTAAAATTCCTAGTACAAAGAACTGCTAGTATATTATTAGAGATACTGTTCCTCTGAAGTTTATCTGAAGTGCATGTGTGTTTGTTTTTGACTAAAAATCACATCTAGTAATGCATATTATGAGCAAGGGACATGATCTGGATAATGTGATTTTCCACAGGCAGGATATTGGAGTAAAAATAAGTTCTTCATTAAAGAAGTCATGATGGCAAATATGCAAGATTAGGGGATTGTTGCAAGTTAAGTATTTTTTTTAAGATAGAAAGCTTAGAAACAAAATTCTTGTTGAGCCAAAGGCATATATCCCATTGCACATTCCCATCACTAAGAAAGTGACATAAACTGGGACAGATTGTCCCCTGTTAATGTATTTGCCTTAGGAAAATTACAGTGTGGTGCAAAGTATTAGAACTGTACTAAATCTAAATGTAAAAGTGTGGCATCCTTAAAATGCAGTTACTTTTAAATGTTAATATTTTTCTCTGAAAATGAAACAATCTCCCCCATAAAGTTACTTATTCTAATGTTGATAGGGTTTAACTTCTTACATTTTTATGCAGAGAGATAAATGCAACAAATAAGAAGACATGTATTATTCACAAATCTTGATAGAAACATCTTGTACTTTTAACTTAACTCAAGTTATAGTCTATGTGCTTCCTTTTTTCAGAATTACTGAAATGTGTTACATTTCCCAAGTGCAAAATATATTTGGATTTTTTATTCATGATGATGTATGTAGTGTGTTCCCATTAAGATTCGCAATTGTAGCACAGATCCCCCTCCCCATAAAAATATCTTGTATTCGGCCATAATTAAAAGCATAATGTTGATTTTAATTTGTCCACAGGTCAATTGAAACAATGGTATTTGAATAATTGTGAACATTATCTCAAATGTGGGATACACACACACACACACACACACCTATCTACACTTCCCTCCAAAATGTGAACACCAAATGAACATAAATAAACAATAAAAAAGACAATGAAACTTTGGGAAAGGTAGATTTATTGTAGCAATGCTTAACAGTTTGGGAAACCCTGCTATAGATAGTTCTTCTCCTACTTAATGCCCTCCAAATTACTAAAATGAAAGTCCCCTAAATTCCTATCTGGGAAAGTAGAATACATCAGATTGGACAGGATGCTATAATAGTAGAAGGGTGGGGGAGAGAGAGAAGAGAGAAAAATAGGGAGAGAGGGAGTCGACACATAAAGTTTCTATCAAAGCTACAATTATATGGCTATCTTTACAAAGAGTAGAATTCTTAGTTTTAAGACTTCCCAGGAGTAATGCTGGTCTAAGTGGGTTTCATACTTTCAGAGCTGATTATTGCAGTGGAAAGTAGGGTGAAAAAAACAGTTCCTGAAATTCATCTCCAGAGAAGGAGATAACTTGGGATCACCCAGAGAACTCTTTACAGATGCCCCCCTACCCCCCAATGACAGGATGTAAAATAGTCATCTCCAGCGGGTTTTAGAACTGTGAGAGTAGGAGAAATAGCTATGATTGGAACCTTTGATAAGGACACTGGGTTCATCCATCTCCATTCGCCATCTTTTTTTTTTAAATTATTATTGGAAATGGCTTATAAATTGCTTTTTGGACATTAAGAACCTTCAGAAGGGCAAGTTTTATTATACTAGGTGATTTTTCTCCCACCGACAGCAAAAAAAAAAAAAAAAAAGATTTATGTAAGTTTAAAACTTAAAGAAAAACTTCATTTTGTTTCAAAATAAGCAATAAAGGAGCTATTAGAATGTTGATTTGGAGAAGATTTTAAATGGTATAAAAGATTGCCTAGAAACAAGGTTTTGAAAAAAAAAGAATATTATTTGCTGTTATTTAAAAATCCTATTAAAAATATATGAAGATCTGAGTTTAAGTGTAAGAAATCTCTTCCTGGGAAATGTTCTGCGTGAGATAAAAACATGATAGAGGGGACCTTGAAAGATGGTTACTAGAGGCAACCAAAAATAATTTAAAATTATAATTAAAAGAAAATTCTCACTAATGCATAATGGAGAAAACATTTTAATTCTGGAAGAATGTAAAGATACTCAAGAACTTATTATTTAATTAAAAAATGAGCTCAAAAGAAACCCATTCAAATAGAAGAGAATGTAGTGGAAAATCAGACTGTTTTGGACATGGATTTAAAAGTGACTGGATATAAGACTTGCATTGACAAAGATTTTATACAGAACCAACAAATGAAATGAGTTTGTAAGTTAAAAGGGATGCACAAATAATAAATGAGAAGAATGACTTGGATACATGGATCTTAATTCAGAAAAATGACTTTTCTGTTATACATATGAAGAAATTCCTGTGAAAAGCAAATTCAAAGAAATCAGCTTTTGGGACACTACCCAAAAGAAATAATCAAGACCCTTAAATCTAAAACTAAGGTTTACAAAGTGGGTCAATTTGATCAAGATTAAACTGTATATGATCTTTTCTTTACTGACAGCTCTAGCAGTTTCTAGCAGGATGGATTTAACTCAACCAATCTAAAAGAATATTGACTGCAAGTGGTTTTGCTTGCAGGAGGAAAGTGTTACAATGATATCTTGGTACTTGTCATTAATTGGTTCCAGGAGGTGTGATGAATACCAAAAATGAGTACAGGTAGTCCTTGATTTACGACCACAATTGAGCCCAAAATTTCTGTTGCTAAGTGAAACATTTGTTAAGTAGTACAGCCTGTAGTACAGTGGACTAAGCACTGGTATTAATATCTGCTGCTTGCAATTACTGCAAGTTCAAATCTCACCAGGCTCAAGGTTGACTCAGCCTTCCATCCTTTCAAAGGTAGGTGAAATGAGGACCCAGATTGTGGGGGCAATAAGCTGACTTTGTATAAATATACAAAAGTATGAAGGCTATTGCTTAATGCATTGTAAGCCACCCTGAGTCTCCAGA